CTCTCTACCTCTACGATGGGAGTGTGGTTTCGCGAAAAAGCGTGCAAAGCGACGCAGAGAGGAAAAGCGGACGCGTTTGGATCGTAATCTGCCAACGTTAGGTATATTCGCACCGTCGTCGCTGCGCGCGCGTGCTTGGGTGTGTGCGTGCGCGCGTGGTCGCGTAGGATATCGGATCTGGCATAGCGAGCCGAACGGATGCGAATAGAGCGCGCAACGGAACGATGCGTGTAAAAGCGAATTGCTACGAGCAGGAGCTTGCGTTCGAATCGAAATCAACTACGATCGGTGCAACGTACGAGTGTTCGGATCTGTGCGACTTGCGGATCTGATGCGGATTACCACGATATTTGGAATAATCCACGGAGCTTGTCGCATCCTCGTGCGGCGTATGCGATCCCAACGCGTCGGGATAATCGGCTCCGTATTCGTCTTGAGGATAATCGAGCTGTGTCGGATGGTAAAACGTGGGACGACTCGTGTACACGGGCCGATTGTAATTCCATGTTTGCGACGATTCGTAAATCGTCGAAGGCTTGTTCGCGTTGTCCGCGGGCACGTGGCTGGGTCGATGCTCGTTCTGACCGGTGTGCATCGGCTTGGTCGGCCTTGCCGCGTTCTCGTAGATTTGAACATCGTCGTCCATGTACGGATGCTGATGTCCCAAGTTTAACGTAAGTGCTACAGGTTTAAACAACCTCGATTTTACGTCTTCTGCTTTTTCAACTCGAATCTCGGCATACGCTCCAGTGTGTATGCAGGAGATTCGGCTGGAACAATCTTGTTTTCGTATTCGAACTCGTATCCGTTCCGATTTCCCTTTCCCTTTCCCTTTCCCTTTTCCCTCTTCTCTTTCCCCTTTCCCATCCCTTCCCTTCTCCTTTCTCTCTTTTCAGCTCGCCTCCTTGTCCCCTGCTTTTCTCTTTTCCATCTCACCCATCTCCTGATTCCCGTTCCCCATTTCCCGTTCCCCGTTGCCCGTTCCCCGTTATCCGTTCCCCGTTCCCCGTTCACCGTTTCCCATTCCCCGTTCCCCGTTATCCGTTCCCCGTTCCCCGTTCCCCGTTCCCCGTTCCTCGATCGCTCCTTTCTCTTTCCCTCGCCCCTTTCACCGCCACCTTTTACCTTTGCTCGTTTTAGTTTCTCGCATATATCAGAAGAAGAAAACTCAATAGTAATTTGTTTCCACCTTGTTCTAGGTCAGGTTCGCGCGTTTCTCTGTTTACGCGACATCGAAACTACTGCCCGGAGAATATTTACACGCTACGCGATCGCAACGAATCGCAATCGAATAACGCAACCTCGTTAAAAAATAATCAAGTTGCGTCTCCTAGAGTACCAGGCGGTAATAATAATTGGTAGCGTACAAGAGAACTCGGAATAAACGCACGGATCGAGTACGATCGAGGAACACTTACTGGCGTTCTGTAGCAACCCGACGGTTGGCCGTGGTATTTTTTCAGGGATATCGTCGTCGTCGACGCAACAACTCCAAATCAATCCTCCGGAACACAGATCGACTGGACGGCCGCCACCGAGGACGCAACTGATGCTAAGACCGCAGTCGAAAGATGCTCCTTTGTACGTACACGTTTGCGGTATCACTGAAACATAGAGTTCGCGGATGCAGACGACAATGTGTAGAAATATTTTCGAAACGTTCCGATTTCGTTACTTTCGCCGCGTTCGCGCTCGCGCGCCTACGTTCGACGATACGCCTTCCCCGCGACAAAGAATTTTGGCAGAAACGTTTACCGGAATACGAAATACGTACGCGTTTCGGCAACGTACGCGAATAAATCGGACGGACGCGCGTTTACTTTTTATACATCTCGAAGAATTTTTAATCGTTCGCGATGTGAGCTTGCGACTTTCGCGCGGTACCTACGCGTACGTATACATATACAGCATCCGTGCTTACGTATTCCTGTTCACGAATCTACGCTGTATCGTACACGCGTTACGATGATTCGCGTTTCATATTTTGTACCATGCGTTTCGTGTCTCGTGTCTCGTGTATCGTGTATCGTGTCTCGTGTCTCGTGTCTTGTGTCTCGTGTCTCCTATCTCCTGTCTCCTGTTACGGCATGCTACGTTGCATCGTACGTTGTTGTGTTCGCTTCTATATCTATACTATATGTATGTATAGATCATCCTGTTGCGTTGCTGGGTATTGCTGTCTTTCGGTCTGTTTCTTCGGATAAATACCCGACTGCTTTCGTTTCGAACCATGGTTTCATAAGTGAAATCCTTTGCTCGACGCACAGTGACGAGATTGTGCACGAAAACCAAATCCAACGCCGACTCTTAAATGTCGACGATTTTTCAACCATCTGTTGCACTTTGTCCGCTGTCTTTCGTCTTCCGTCTTTCGTCTTTCGTCTTTCGTCTTTCGTCTTTCGTCTTTCGTCTTTCGTCTCTCGGTCTTTCGTCTTCTATTTTTCATCTTCTGTCTATCGTTTGCCAGCTACCATCTACCGTCGAACAACATTCCACTGTACACTGTCCTCTGTCCACCGTCTGCCAGTCCACCGTTCTATACGTATACGTATATTTGGTATTTTTCGATACCAAATTTCGATCGTTGTTAAATTTGAAATATTTGTTTCGGAAACGTACTTCTACCCAATATATCCATTATGCTGTTTTGAAGGTCGTTGTTATGACCACGATGATCCCCTGTATAATTTCGTTTCTTTTTTAGTGCCTCGACAAGAATGGTACCCTGTTGCTGACCGTTGAATTTTCGCCTCCTTCCTTGTCGATGGCTGATCGCTAGCAATTTCTCGAAATCACCTTTAATCCCTCGCTTCTTCAGTTGATCGAAAAATATTTCTAGCTCGTTACCTTCGTCGTCGTTCGGACCGTTTCCTTCTCTCGGTTGCGACGCGTTTGTCTCGCCGGATATCGAATCACGAGTTTCGCGAAAATCATCGTTGAATTCGGTTACGGATTCCCTACCGTCCACTCGTTTCGTTCGCCTCGCGTGTCCCACCGATGCCGTATTCCCGAGAAGGCTCGTTCCGCCCGAATAACCTACCGTACGTAAAGACCGATTTCGAAGTCCGATAACGATATTCCGAGATTTTTCGTTGATTTCGCAATTCTCTTTCCACAGTTGGTTTCTCTTTAAATCGGAGCACTTTGCCGCATCGACCTCTCGGACGGAGATAATACCGTTGTCTTTCCTTTTTTCGATCGACTCGGTCAGCGTTCGGCCATTCCCCGATCTTTTAACTTCTCTGGGTTTTCTTACGGTCGATCGTCGACCACCTCGAGCTCGGAAATTCGTCGAGGCGCGATCCTCGAGTCGATCGAGCCGCGCATCGTCGACGGCGAGCAACGTAAAGTTTTCGGTTCGCGCGTAATTCGTCTCCGATGGCAGCTTGGTCGCGTGTAATTTCGCAAACAAGTCGTAAATCGTGATCGGCGACATGGCCGATACAGGCGGCATTGGCGGCATAGGCGAGACTGGAGATAAAATCGAACGATCGTAATTTACAGTATCGTAGTCATCGTACGCGGCGTAATCGAACGCGTCACTGGCCGTAATTAAGAGCATGCACGCAACGACGACGACTTTCATGATCCAACTTCTAAAATGATTCGAACAAACGACGTTGAAGCGAACAAACTGTCGCGATTCATATCATAACTGTTCCAAAGTCGGTTATCGTTTCGTAGGGTACGACCAAAGTGTACGCCTTCATCGAAAACCGCGTTTGCTCGTTATCGCGATAGATCGATCGGATTCGCGACGATTCTCGAGGAATTCCGAGGGATTCGTGCCGCTATCATTTTACCATTGTTCGATTTTAACGACCCGGACCGCGTCGCGTTGTTCGAACGTAAACGCCGTTTATACGTTCGCGGGCCCGGTAACCAACGTCTCGAAGCGCCTCGATGCCTCGAAGCCTTCCGAATGGAACCAGCCGACGCGACGGGGCGACGGGCCGACGACGAGCCGACAGGTAACGCGATCGATAAGGAAATATCGCGCGGCTACGATCCGCGTAAAATACGCTTCAGTATCGCGGTTCGAAGCGTACGGAGTATCGGTTGGCTCGATCGTGATTCTCTCCGATCGTACAGTCTTCCATTTCAACCAACACGCATTAAAGTATTTCACAGACTGACGAGACTCGACTCGACCGGCATCCAGAGAGGTGTTGCGTTCGCGGCTTTCACCGCATCAGCTTTCCCATCGCAACAACGGCGCGTCTTCCCTGACCCGACATTGGTTCCCCACTTCTCTCTCTCTCTCTCTCTCTCTCTCTCTCTCTCTCTCTCTCTCTCTCTCTCTCTCCTTCACTCTCTTCGGCTTTCTTTTCTTTTCTTTCTTTCCTTTTCTTTTCTTTTCTTTTCTTTTCCTTCGTTATCCGTCTCCGTCTTGTTCGCTATTCCTTCCTTTCGTGCAATTCGAAGCGCTTCTACCGCGGTAACTTTTGTCGTTGTGTCACGCTCGTCGTGTCCAATTCGAACGCGATCGATCGTGGATCGTGGAAAGTAGTTGCAAACGATGCATCGAGTATTCGTAACGATACGCCAATCGTCTATGTACAGAGCGGAACGACGAAATCAAACTTGGCCATCGTTGCAAGCCGAAAGCGAACGTACGTACAAATACCTATTTATGCACGCGTACGCGAGACATCGGCGAGTTTGTAGAAAAACTTTGGAAATTCTCTGCTTCGGAAAGTCTCGACCGGACGATTGAAAAGCGGCGAACCAACCTTTCGAATAGACAGCGGCGTCGATCGAACGATCAACGATAAGTTTGATGAAAAATGGACGGACGGTGGACCGACGTCTTTCTCCTCGACGTTCGATTCGGTCGTGGCGCGGATAATACGACGTAAAACCGTTGACGCGCGTTTGAATTTACTATCGATGTCGTTGACATTTTCGACGGGATATCATCGTACGGAACTTACGGCCAAGTTCGTCGAAAAATCTCATCTGTCCTTCCGAATCGACTGCATTTTCCACCGTTGGTTCCTCGTCGACCGAATCTAAAACCGAAGCAAGCAATTGAGTTAGCGGGTGGAACGAAAAGACAACGACGAACGATCGCTCGCGTTTTTCATAAAAATATTTGCGTCGGCGCGCGTATGCTTATTTTCAAGATATCTGTTTGAAAGGGTTCGCGCGAACGAGCCTGTCGCTTTCCCATCGATCGCTGAACTCACCAAATTTCCTTAAATACCGATCGTTCTTCCTTTCAGCGGCGCAACAATACGAGCCAACGAAGAGCAAGCTTAAAAGCGAGCGTACAAACGAGTTCATCTCTTTTCTGTTTCGACGATGATCTACGCCGACCGACTGTTTCGGATGCTGTTGTTCTTCGATTCCATACGATTCCATACGACCCCGAACAAAACACTAAACTTTCATAGAATCTCACTTCCGGACGGCGCGGTTCTTAAATCTTCTTCTCGATCGGCCGATCCTTCGTTCCTCTCTCGTTCTTCTCTCTCTCTCTCTCTCTCTCTCTCTCTCTCTCTCTCTCTCTCTCTCTCTCTCTCTTTACCC